TTTCAAACTTGAAACTATGTTTAGCCTGTAAGGTTAAAAATGAAATTTACCGATTATTCGAATCGAATCGTGGTGTATTCTTGAGTATCGAAAATAATCGAATCGTTGGGTCAGGAAATTGAATCGCCATGATGGATGTGATTTACACCCCTAATAAGCTCCTGGAACCAGAATTTCCCAGATGGAGTAATCCTAAGGGATAAATAAAGTTAAGTCTAAGTCTAATTATATTTTAGCCTGACTCCACTGGCTGCCTCTACATTTTAGAATTCATATTAAAATTCTTTTATTTGCTTTTAAATCCCTGAATGCTCTGACCCCACCATACCTCGGAGCTCCTACATCCTTCTAGACCTACCGGCTCTCTCAGGTCAGCAGATCAGCTCAAACTCAGCAGAAACTCATAGAATGTTATTTTTACCCATGTTTTAGCTGTTTTGTTTTTTTAATCTGTACTGTTTTATGTTTGATTTATTCAGTTTTTTTCTGTACAGCACATTGGTCAACTGTGGTTGTTTTTAAGTGCTTAATATATTAAATTGGAATTGGAAATATTAACAACCAGTTCCTTTGTGATCCACAGTGGGGACCATCCAGACGTCCATTACCCACTCATAGAACAAATGCTGTCCAACTTTGAAGGACACATATATGTTTAAATCATTCCTTTGTACACTTAAATTATCCAGCTATGGTGCTCATGAAGGGGAACTGCAACGCTTTGGTCTGACATCCTCGTTCTCTGGTTGATTTCTGCTGTGAAAAAGTCATAAAACATCACTTTTGTTTGAGCATTTCTGCAGCAGATACTGGGATGTTGCCATTAAAAATAAAAATAAATCGAACACTGAAAACTGAACGGATTAAAAAATAAACCCTAAACAAAACATAAAAACATCAACAGAGACAAAAAAAAATCAACTTTCTGATCTGATGATCTGATGAAGAACAAGTTGCATAAGATTTAGCTCTGAACAGCTGGATTTACTTCTAAACCAAAATGATTTAATGCAACAAAACTGCTTCGTACAAAACCCCAATAAGGACAACGAGGGAGAAATAAAATCCTTCTTACTCAGCAGCAGCACGAGTAAGACATCTCTCACCCTCACTCTGGTAGCTATTAATGTTCACTTTGACCTTTAATAAACTAAAATAAATATTTAATATCAGTTGTTATGTATGAAAAAGATAATTTCCTTCCCGCTGCACCGATCCATCCCATGCATCTTTTTCCTCACAGATATTATTCTACTGTTGTTATTCCTGATGTTACCAATTATACAATACATAATAATAAATACACAATGCTTCCACTGAGGCCACAATGACTGCAGAGGAAGCTCAATATAGATTTAAACTCTGCTTCTGTGTGTCTAGATTCTAAGGCGTTATTTATGTTTGCTCCTCCCATAATTTTGCTTTGTTTGCTCATAAGCACATGATCTGCACATTCAAAATATTTTGAGCCAAAACCTATTTATTTTAGACACACATCAATGTGCAGCTAGTTTGTAGATACATTTTTTGAATGCTAAAAAGTTTTAATGTTTTTAAATTTAAGGAAATGTTATAATAATCAGGTCTTTTGATTCTTCATTAGCGAATATTTAACTCTTTATAAAAAAAAAAAAAAAAAAAAACATTTTAAAGGAACGGCAAAGAGAAAACATCCAGGGTCGGCCCCCGCAGGGTTCGACTCTTCAGTCCGTGTTTAGTTTGGTTTTTTTTGATGACGTGTTTAAAAGCAGCACCTCTCACTCCTCAGCTGTGGCAGAAATCAAAGCCGATCAATAAAAGTCATCTCTTCAGATGAACCGGAGCCATCAGGGGAAGGCACCACTACTTTTACTGAGCCCAGGGGAAAACTGCCCCCACTCCTCCCCCTCCAGGCCCCCTCCCCCTCCACCCCCTTCAATCCCTCCATCTCTTTGTTTGATGCCTCTCAGCAGCTCGGCTTTGGAAAAAAAAAAAGGGGATCAGGTGTTTTTTGAGAATCCCTGAAATGGTGGCGGCGGGGGTCAGAAGTTTCTCCGCTCTGCTGATATCATCATGAGCAGCTGAAGGACGTCCTTTTCAGTTTCAGCCTTTTTTACTGAGTCTGTGAAGGAAAGCAGGAAAACAGCTGAGCTGAACTAAACTGAGGCGAGTGATGGGCAGGGACGGATTTGATGTGCTGCTGGATGCATGTTTCTCCTCGTCATCCTGCCCCAAACCCCCCCACCCTGCAAAATATCCACGCACCCCCACTCAGACCCCCTCCCATAGAACTTTCCCCGCTGAGTTAGGGATCGGGAAATGCCCAGGAAGCAGAACAAGCTCAGGAAAAGAGGGCGTTCTGGGGTGTGGTGGGGGGGGGTGTCACTCACCATGATTGGTTTGCGGCTCTGCAGTCTCTGGGAGGCCTGACAGCGGCTGCTACTCCTCTCGCCTCGTGTCCACCGCTGGTTCACCAGCTCACCCCGAAACTCATTTTCTAAAAGAGGGAAAGGGGGGGGGGCAGAAATGAAAAAATCTGTGAAATCAGCATCAGCACCAGTGGATGGGCTGAGGGGAGGGGGGAGGTTACACCACTCCAGCAGTTTATTAGGTGAAAGAAGAGGAGGTCTCCCCCTCACTCACACAGACCCACCCACCCCCCAGCAGAGCCCCGCCACTCAACCCGAGCCCCCACCAATTCGCTCCGACAATCAATCAAATCTGCTCATTTTTGATCCAGCTTTCTGAGGCTCATGTCTGATTAGAGGTGGAATGGGGGGGGGGCGTCCTATACAAATCAAACCTCCGCCCATCCGTTTCCTCCATCTAGGTAACTGCAGCATCTGATGGCGTCTTTCTGATGGCGTGGTTCTGATGGCGTCTTTCTGATGGCGTGGTTCTGATGGCGTCTTTCTGATGGCGTGGTTCTGATGGCGTCTTTCTGATGGCGTCTTTCTGATGGC